CGGCCCTCTCTTACCTGCACGGCCACGCCCTGGTGCACCGCGACCTGAAGCTGGACAACGTCCTGGCCTTCGACCGCCACTGCCACCTGGTCAAGCTGGGCGACTTCGGCCTGACGCGGGTGACGGGCTGGCAGGTGAGCCCCGCCCCCGGCCCCGCCCCCTACGCCCCGCCCGAGCTGCGGGCTCACCTGCGGCCAGGTGAGGCGGGGCTGCGGCTGGAGCCCGCCGTGGACACCTGGGCTTTCGGGGTGCTCCTGTTCGCCCTCCTGACCGGAACCTTCCCCTGGGCCTCACCTGAGCCCTCCGACCCCGCCTTCCGCCGCTTCCGGGCGTGGCACGGCCGCACCTGCAGCACAGGTGAGCTGAGGGCGGGGCTGCCGCGCACCTGGCGCGGGCTGGGCGGGGCCGCGCTGGAGATGCTCAGGGGGTTGATGCACCCGGAGCCGGCGCGGAGGAGCCCACCTGGGGAGGTGAACAGGTACCTGCGGAGGAGATGGGCGGGGCGGGGCGGGGCGAGGGGGAGGCCGGCAGGTGAGGGTGGACAGGTGAGATCGGCAGGTGAGGGGGGACAGGTGAACTCTGAGGATGGACAGGTGAGCTCTGCAGGTGAAAATGGGAGTGCACAGGTGAGCACTGGGAGTGGACAGGTGAGCTCAGCAGGTGAGAATTGGAGTGGACAGGTGAGATCGGCAGGTGAGAGGGGGAGTGGACAGGTGAGCTCTGAGAGTGGACAGGTGAGCCCTGAGAGTGGACAGGTGAGCTATGAGAGTGGACAGGTGAGCTCTGCAGGTGAGAGTGGACAGGTGAGCCCTGAGAGTGACCAGGTGAACTCTGAGAGTGGACAGGTGAGCTCAGCAGGTGAGAATGGGAGTGGCCAGGTGAGCCCTGAGAGTGGGAATAGCCAGGTGAGCTCAACAGGTGAGGGTGGACAGGTGAACTCTGAGAGTGGACAGGTGAGCGCTGGGAGTGGACAGGTGAGCTCTGCAGGTGAGAATGGGAGTGACCAGGGAGCCCAACAGGTGAGCGCTGGGAGTGGACAGGTGAGATTGGCAGGTGAGGGCGGACAGGTGAGCTGTGGGAGTGGAGAGGTGAGCCCTGAGAGTGGGAATAGCCAGGTAAGCTCAGGAGGTGAGAATTGGAGTGGACAGGTGAGCGCTGAGAGTGACCAAGTGAATTTTGAGAGTGGCCAGGTGAACTCTGAGAGTGGGAATGGGAGTGGCCAGGTGAGCCCCGCAGGTGAGAGTGGACAGGTGAGCCCTGAGAGTGGCCACGTGAGCTCAGCAGATGAGAATTGGAGTGGTCAGGTGAGCCCAACAGGTGAGAGTGGACAGGTGAACTCTGAGAGTGGGAATAGCCAGGTGAGCTCGGCAGGTGAGAGTGGGAGTGGCCAGGGATCCCCCTCAGGTGAGAGGGGACAGGTGAGCTCTGAGAGTGCACAGGTGAGCCCCACAGGTGACTCCAGGTCCCCCAGTAGCAAGGTGGGCACACCTGGACAGGTGAGGGGCACATCTGGGCAGGTGAGGGGCACACCTGGAGAGGTGAGGGGCACACCTGGGCAGGTGAGGGGCACACCTGGGCAGGTGAGGGGCACATCTGGAGAGGTGAGGGGCACACCTGGAGAGGTGAGGGGCACACCTGGAGAGGTGAGGGGCACACCTGGGCAGGTGAGGGGCACACCTGGACAGGTGAGGGGCACACCTGGGCAGGTGAGGGGCACATCTGGACAGGTGAGGGGCACACCTGGAGAGGTGAGGGGCACATCTGGAGAGGTGAGGGGAACACCTGGACAGGTGAGGGGCACACCTGGACAGGTGAGGGGCACACCTGGACAGGTGAGGGGCACATCTGGACAGGTGAGGGGCACACCTGGACAGGTGAGGGGCACATCTGGAGAGGTGAGGGGCACACCTGGACAGGTGAGGGGCACACCTGAAAGTGGCAGGGACACACCTGGTCAGGTGAGGG